GTTATTATTATTATTGAGTGTTCTGTCTTACGACAGGTCCATTGCTCTGCCCAAAAAGAGCTCTCCAGTTGTCCCTATTCTTGGCTTCTCGCTTTAATTCCTGGAACGTCATCTTCTTTCCTTGTTTAAGGTCGTCGGTTAGCTGTATCAATCTTCTTCCTCGTCCTCTCTTTCCTTCAACCTGGCCTTCGATGATATCACTCAGTATTCCATTCCTTCTCATAATATGTCCCTGCCAGTTAGCTTTCCTTCGTGTAATCGCCTGCAGAATGCTTCTTTGCTCGTTGACTCTCCTCAATACTTCTTCGTTGGTCACTCGATCCGTCCACCTGATCTTCTCTATTCTTCTCCAACACCACATTTCAAAACTCTCCAGGTATTTCTGTTCCTTCTTCCTGAGTGTCCAAGTCTCTGCTCCATACGTAACACTTCACTAGTTTCTTCTTCAACTATGCGTTACGTATGAGAAAATTAGCAATAGAATCAAAATCATGTAAATTTCACAATGTCTTAACTGGATCCCAAATACAGATGACTTCAATCTCTAGCACAAAGAACAAACTGTACTTTCCTTTCAATACATGTTATAATACTATGAATTCATCACAAATCTATTTTTTATGCTTTCATAAAAGCTAAAACGTTTGTCGCGCAGCTCAAGTTCTTCATAATTAAAACGTGTGACAGAGTCCAAGTACCCTTAACGTCGACATCAGACGCATGTGAGATTCATTAGCTTGAAGCTCCGGCCGCTTACCCACTGGATAAGAGGGTGGTCACAGACGACTTGAGAAATCCCTCTTTGTAAGAAATCTAATTTCAGTCGCTAGCTCGCAGCTGTCACTCTGCTGGCTGGAATTACCGGCATCACCTTTATTTTCACGATGGTCCTAAAATATTTTTTGTCGCCCCAAATTCCTCTTACGCCTGACTTTACTTTCACCTTTCAAGAGTGGCCTTGAAAAAGCACACGTCTTTTGTGTGTATTTTGTCCTTGTTTTTAACCCCTTAAAAAAACTCTTCTTGGAAAAGTGTTCAGTGGCGGATTTAGGCGTACTGACGCACAGAAATATTCTACAGAACTAGAAAATTCATCATGCAGGAGATCAGAAAAATGTAAAATGAATCTACCAGTCTTTTATTTATTTAAAAGCTTTCACGTCAGAAGCTTTTTCTCTTTGCAGCACACAACAACGACAAAATGTGTATTACCTGAAGCGATCCTACTGAGTCCAGTCCACACTCCATGCCCTAGTTCTCTAAGATCCATTTTAATACCATCCTAATGTCTACGCTTAATTTTATGTCCCTTATAATGAAGTTTCCAGTACAAATCCAATGTATCCAGATATAGAAGCTAACTGAATAAGTATTCGCGACCAGCCGAAAGGGGTGATCCTACAGGTTCGAGGTTAGCTGGGGGGCTAACAACTCCTCTCCGTCAAATCAAATATATTATAAAATGTTAAATAAATATCTCAAGATATAACCAGATGACGGTCTCTTGTGAAGACTACAACGAACCGTAGGGTTCCACAACAGACGTGGAATTTATTGACGAGCTAGGCGACTATTACCTTATCAAGGACTCTGATCCATGGACATAGTTAATAAGTACATATTATAACCTTTTTTCGGTTATTTTCAGCAATTTCCGATTGTTCACAATATACTTGATTGCCGACACGCCACTGCGTCGAGAACCAAGGATGGGGCAGTAAACATCTTGAGAGTGAAGCTGAAAGAAGGTGCAGGCATTAATACCTGCTCCGTGATCAACATCTCCATATACCTGTCTGGACCAACACATACAACACACTGGACTACACATCTATACCCTATAAGAACCGCCATGACCATTAGGATTTAAGGTTGTCCCGCTGGCGAATACGAAGATGACCGTCTTCTGGGTTGTTGCGCCGTGTAGTCTGGTAGAAGTTTACGGACGTTTCATGGCCCTGATGTTGCAGGAAGCAAGCACCTCTGAAACGTCGGTAAACTTCTATCTGACTACACGGTGCAACAACCCAGAAGACTGCCGTCTTCATATTTCTGGTTAATTTAGTCTGAAATGATGAAAAAAAACTACAGACCGATACTGTTTAATAAATGAAGAAATTGATTTTTAATGCTGATTATACGGAACTTAACACCGTATCAATGCATATGTTGGAAAACACACTTAACAAACATGTGATATACATGTTTTAGTGGGCTCTCAGTTTACGTCACTCTAAGAACACTTACGAATTAGCTGAATCCCGTCATGAAGGAGGGGTCAGTGAATGACGTCTAAATCATTATTTTACATAAGAATACAGCCATGTACCTGCTAATAAAATTAAGTGGTTGCGAATTAAATAGTAGTACTAACAGAATTCAAGTTTAAATATTTGTATGTGCGTGTTCCAAAATACATAAACAGTCCAAGCCAATGAATATTTCAGAAACACTGCACTACCTTGACAAAACAAGTAGTCACTCAGCCTGACAAGAACATTCCCGGCTATCCTGATTGAGATTTTTAGGGGTATTATTCGGACGCTGATATTAATTCGGCCCGTGACTGTACTAACAAAATGTAAACAGACAAGACAAAAATCTAGATTGTAAGTGAAGTTTTGGAGTCCCTATACATATATTGAAAAACCGAGAAAACAGTGTGTAGTCCATTCGGCTTTGACTTTTAAGTCTATCGTAACATCCTTAGAACACAGAGAGTTCAGAATATTACGCTTGAATTAATTAATAATGTTACATGCGGGTATTTTGGAATAATAACCGTTCCCCGATAACGCGAGAGTTGTGTTCCTGGATAACATCGCGTTGTAAAAAATCGCATTGTAGAAATCGTTGGTCCAACTCGAATTAAACGGTTAAGGAGAAATAGTTATCATGGTATCAGTGAATTGTGTGCATTCGTTTCTATTAAAACCCACACCGAAACTCATTCTATGTTCTATTAACATAACCTTTCCACTCCTGTGTTCGTGGTTTACTTCTATGAATGTCTTTATTTGCTTTGTTTCGATCGTGTTACATCCAAGATGCATCCGCGTTATGAAAACAGATTTATCTTATAAATCAATGGCGTAATAGCCAATTCGCTTTATAAAAAGCGTTACAGGTAAAATTAATGAATATAAAGTATACTGAGCCAGTGACAATAACTGGCAAGTTCTTGAAACAATTAAAACACAATTCTCCGGTGCCAAAGTAAGGGAAATCCCCAAAAAAATTACAACCGAAAAATGATTACTTTTTTATTACTTATTAGTGCCTATTTCATGTTACCTGTAATTTATCAAAACCCAGAACTTCAAGCTTAATTTCATGTCGAAACTGTATATGTTAATACATGTATATACTAATACACTAACTGACGATCTTAAACAAGGAAAGAAGATTAAGTTTCAGGGGTTAAAACGAGAAGCTGAGAATAGGGAAAAATGACGAACTATTTTTGGGCAGAACAAGGGACATGTCGTCAGACAGAATACTAAATAATAATAACTAATACACCTGGTTTGTGAGGACTTTTATAACTTATATCTTAATTGCGTCATGTTTGTGTTTATTAATACAATAATTTATTTACCGTCTTTACACAAACTTAAAAATGTTGTTAAAATTACTTAAAATTATAACA